ACTGATGTTAAGTCTGAGTAAACAACGTTTTATATAAAAGACGCTTTCACTCGACACTTCGTCTGACTTGATGATACTAATGCTGTCTTGTCAAAAAATCGTGATGTAGGGGAAAGTGATACGCTTAATAATGCGGAAGACTTTTTAATCCAACGAGATAACTGAATGGACCAAAATCATAAGTTTAATGGAGGATTACACCAGATAATATGGAGGCGATGTTGGACGACGACGGCGGGCAGATCTTTGAGGAAGCAGGAGCAGATCGTCTGCATCTATTGTTGCTACCGCCGTAAGTATACGACTCTGGTCGCCCGGTGTCTGTCTTCTTTATATGGCATGCCCTCCCTTCTTTTTCTCATGTCTTCTCTCCTTGCCCTTGCTCTCTCTCTCTCTCTCTTCTCTCCTATCTTTCTCCTCTCTTAGCTCCTCTTGTATCTCTCTCTCTCTCTCTCTCTCTTCTCCTGTCGGTCCGTCCGTACGTCCGTCAGTCCGTCCGTCCGTACGTCCGTCAGTCCGTCCGTCCGTCCGTCCGTTCGTCCGTCCGTCCGTCCGTCCGTCCGTCCGTCCGTCCGTCAGTCCGCCCGTCCGTCCGCCCGCCCGCCCGTCCGTCCGTCTGTCCGTCCGTCCGTCCGTCCGTCCGTCCGTCCGTCTGTCTATCTGGCTCCTACCTCCTCCCCTCTCTGTTTATCTCACGCTCTCTCTACTCATTCACCCTTTGAAAGAAATAGACAATATAATAGCCTTTATATCTATAATAGTTTTATCTCAACTATCGTTATCTAACAGTAACAATCATGTCTCACAATGCACACATCTAACGATGTACACTTTACTATGCACGCACGCCGACGTTGCGCAGCGTGGTAGCTGACTCGCTGAAGCTTGGGAAACCAGTGCCGCCGGAGCAGTACGATTCCGTCTCCATCTACTTCAGCGACATAGTGGGCTTCACGACCATCGCGTCTGACTCATCTCCCCTGCAGGTAAGTATATCATGGTGGCTGTACGCGGCATGCCCCGCGTCCTTACTTACTTACTTAGGCCTTTTTGCCCCATGAGTAGCATAGGCCATCGACGACGCTCCGCCAGCGTACTCGACCATGGGCTGTTTTTTTCCATCTCCCTCCAGTAGTGACCGCTTCTCTGCATTTCTTCTGGGTGTCTCTACCGCCACGTGTTTCTTGGCCTTTCCCTCTTCCTCTTTTCTGTGGATTCCAGGCCTGTCTGGTGATGCCCCGCGTCCTGCTGCATGTTATTCATACTCGTGCAAGTAGGAAAACAATCACGCGTATGAATAAAAAATTGATTTTGTAATAATAATTAAAAACTTGCAAATACAAATACAAATACAATGAATAGGCATACGTAAGTAAGTGACGCAAGTAAAGTGCAAATATAAGTATAACTACAAGTACTGCACAAGGACCATTTTATATGCAATTTTAATTACAGTACAGACACAAGTAAAAACACAAAACAAGTACAAGTACGACGAAAGAACAACAGCGACAGCTACAACTACAAATACAAATACAAATACAAGTACGAGTGAAAATACAAACACACGCGAGCACAGTCGTGTGAGCACAACTACACCAAT